AGACCCCAGCACAGGACTCAAAGCTATGGGTCAGCTGTTCATCTGGGGTGCTGGATAAGCTCCTAGAAATGTGGGTACCATAGCACCTGCTCTCTAGGATTTTCAGGTTGACGAATAAGAAAATGTGTGGGAAATATTTAAGATGGAGTCTAGTGTTGTATTAGATACCTAGTAAACACTAGCTATTAATGTTATTACCATCATCAAATGAATAGCTTCAAATATATTTTACATCTGGATTTCACTGTGTGTAGATTTCGTATTTTGTTACTTTTTAAACCGAAAAATAATAAGATGTTACTACTCAAATGGAATGTAGCTAAGTGAGCTTGGAGAGTTGGAGACTGATGAAAGTGAAGTAGGTTTCTTTATCCCAGGACTTCTCAGAGCTGTTTAAGAGGGCAGTATGCCTTGTGAGCCTCCAGTTTCCTGTGGACCTCCCTCTTTTTCACTTTCCCTTACTCTCTCCCTCCCTCCCTTCCTTTCCCCACCCCCCAACAGAGCATCTCAAGGAATTAGAGTTCCTCAGAATACACTTTGGGAGAAATTTGGTGGACCGGGTGAATACTCAGTCCCTGTGTAGTTCTAAGAATAATAGTTACAGAAACAAAAACCTAGTGAGTAGTCATTCAGCATCCGTTGTCTAAACCCTTGATACTTAAACTGTGGTCTGTGGAACAGGGAGCTTGTTAGAAATGCAGATTTGTTGGCCCCATCCCAGACCTCCTGGAATAGAAAAGCTACATTCAAACAAGATCCCCTGGTGATTCATACGCACATAAAAATTTCGAAAGCCCCTGCCTAGAGAAGGTCCACCTTTTCCCTGCATGCCTCATGCTTTTCTGCTGAAGTCTGTAGGTATATACCTCCTTTCCCAGCAAGGCAAGCTCAAGACGCCTGATGCAGTTTGTCTGCAAGGGAAGCAGGTCATCTCATCTCCACTGAGGTTTCTTGTGCTGAGAAGGCTGCCGTGAGGCTGAAGATCAGAACCCCATTGTGCCAGTGCTGGTGGCTCTTGGAAGCTTTGCTGGGCTTTGCTCTGTTCTTGTGCCGATTTCAAATCTTATTAGGCCAGGAAGTAGTGCCTGGAAAGTGGTTTATCCCGCTTTGGCTATTCTTGCTTTCCAATTCATTTTTATTGTGCTAATTAAACTTCAAGTGATATTTCAAGTACAGATTGTTTTTCCATTATTGAATCTTTGGCCAGCATATTAACACAGTATTATTAACATGACTCAGATGCTTACTCATTTGTGGGAGACTTTACATTTCAAAGATCTAGACTTGGCCACTTGTGCACAGAACCCTTTGGAAATTGCTATGATAGGGTGATATAATTTCTCTATAAATAAAGGAGACTCATTCTTCTCTCACAAAATAGGCATGTAATTATTCTTTAAATGAATCCGATTCCTAAATCATGGACATACAGTCTGTGCTAAAATAGACCTGTGCCACCCAAGGCAGTAGTATAATAGAGTGGTGAAGGCCCTGTACTTGGGTTCAAGTCTCAGGCCTAAATGTGCTTGGGCAACTTTAGCGGATGTCTTTGACCTTTCCAAAAGTCATATACTTCATTCATTAAAGGACAAAATGCTCACCTTCAAGATGGTTTATAAATAGTCACTAAAACGATAAACATGAGTGTAAATGGCTCAGTGAATGCCTAAAAGTGCTAACATTATTATACTATAATTAAATATTTAGAGCTGTTAATCATATAAGCTTAAGCTCGAAGTTTAGATTTTAGAAGCTTGAAGCATTGGATTTTATAGGAAAAATTAAGATTACAACAAAACTTTTTTACTGACATCTCCTTATTTTAAACCTTTCCTGCTCAGACTGTCTAAAATATTAGACACCTCTGTGAAGGGCAGGAGATGGAACCCATTGCTTCATACTTTTTGAGGTGCCCAATTAGAAGTCCTTAAGCTCATTGTGGTGTGTGGCTAGTGGACGGATTCACACCTTAAGAACAAGCACAGTCTCACCAGAGTCAGCAAGTAAATCTATAAATGCAAAGAAAATGGAAGAGAGTCAACCAGGCACAAGAAGTTATGTTAGGAAAGCAGAGGGATGAGTGGTAGCTGACTTAATGGCTGAGAAATGCTGGTTACCAAGGCGGCTGTGGGGAAAGCCAGGAGAAAACTTGATTTGTATTGCAGAATTACTGCAAGCTTCAAGAAGTAAGAGTATAGGTAACATTACATTCAGGATGTTGGCATTAAGAAGCAGCTAAATATATTTTTGTTCCATATAGTCCATGTGACTGTGCCTCTCCTTTCTCAGTAGAAAACTGGAGTTTTATTCTCAAAAGAGGATAAAGTAAAGATCTCGAGGAATGTCAAGTCAAGTAGGGTTGAGGCTGTAAGAATCACTGAGAAAATAATGATTTTACACACTGGTTTTTGATGTTTCTTGCCTTCTTGCCCATCCAAGCAGGACCCTGGAAGACTGTCCAATGAATGATTTCTTCAGTGACCTAGACAACTTTCCTTTTAACATTCAATAATCATAATCACTGGTATAACCAGCCAAGAGGCCAGTAACACCACCCCACAGTGAAGCCATGCAATGCATTTTTCAAGGGTCAGAAAATATTTAAGGAAAGTTTAGATATGAAAGACAGACACAGAACAATTAAGGAGATCAATTAAAGAAGAATTGCAAGAAACAGAGTACAAATTCAAAAGAAATTATCATTAATATTTCAGGCATCAGAAGAGATGTTACATTCATGAAACAAAACCAGGGTGCCCTGAAAAGAATACTCAGGAAAGGAAAAAGAACCTTGGAAACTAACAGTGTGACAAAGGGAGAAAAAAATATTAAAGAAGATTGACAGATATGTCTGAAGAAATGTCCTATAAGTAAAGAGAGCAAAGAGACACAAAGATGGAAAATAAAAGGTTAGAAAGTTAGACAGGCCATTGATTATATTCAACATTCAAATAATAGTAGTTCTAGGTGGCAAGAAAGCATTGCATGATCATTGAACTGCATCTGTTTCTATCCTAGCAGGATGTGAAACAAGGTTGCATCCTAAAATTGATGCTCTCTTAAATTTGTTGAAATATGATAACTATTACATTTTAGGTGGTTCAGCTGCCAGGAAGGCTTTTATCCTCATAATAAACTCTACAACCTCACTAGGCAATGTAATTTCATAGCGTGAGGAAAGATACTGAGAGTTGAGTCTGGCGTGAGCATGTGGGCAGGCTGGGGTTCTGTGTGTCTGTGACCTCATTTTCTTCTACTTGTGGGAGATCAGCAGGTAACACTAAGCAGAGAAATCAAGAAATAGCAATACAAGCTTGGCATTTAGGGAAATGAAGCTCAGTGCCAGAGAAAAACTCAAGAAATGTGAAAGGTAACTGAGGTAGACAAGGTGCCACCTGGGTGGCACTAGGTGGACTAGCTTTTTACACAATAGTTTGAAACATTTTTCGTAACTAATTTTGCAGAATTTGTTCAATCCCTCAGATGGTATGACTACCTGGTTGATTAGTTTTAAGTGACCCATACCACAAACTTCAAGGATATTCTTTCTTGATGTGTTTCTTAATAAATTGCAAATGTAATTGTCACAGAAGTTGTAGGAAAAGAGAGAGAGAGAGAGAGAGAGAGGAGAGAGAGAGGGAGAGAAGAACAAACTCACCAGGTTGCTCAGTCAGTGTGAGCTGGGTTCTTGGCCACCGACCATTTCTCTTGGAAACCCTGTGAAAGACAAATTGCTCTCTGCTGGACCTTACAGGAAGGAAGAGTTCCCAATAGGTCTCAGTAGCCACTGAAGCCAGATCTTTCAGTAGTGGGAGACGAAGAGATGTGTACTTGCTCCAGCCTCATTTTGGTGAAAGTAAACAGTGTCTTTGTCCGTAAAGACATGCATGAAGATGGGGGGTTAGATACAGCCGGGTGGGTGGGTTAATTGCCATTTAATGGCTGTTGAAGATGGATTGCCTTTACTGACCCCCAGGTTGCTTCTGAGTTAATGAGGTGTCATAGTTCCATATTCAGCTGTAGGTGAATACAGTCCCAAGCAGCTTTGCTGAGACCCAGAAGGAATTGTTTTGACTGTAGGACCCACCATACTGTTACTCCTTCTGTGACCCGGTCACACAAAAATACTCAGCTTCTTGCGAAGTTTAAAGCAGGATAGACACTCAGTAGGTCCGATACTTTGATGAAATGAGGGCAACATCAATTTAAAGAAAAAAAACCTTAGCTTTTGAAATGTAAGAATATAGAAATGGTGCTTTGCTGGTATGTTAAAAAATATTGATAAGGTTCAAAATTTCATCTGATAACATTTTAGGATTTCTCACACTAAAAAGGTTTCATTCAAGGGCTCATATAAATTTTTTATCATATTGTAAACAGGATAAATTTTAGTCATAATATCTAGTTGTGATTTATACAACTTTGACTCTTTCTAACACTGTGCTATTGCAATTTTGTCTTTGAAAAAATGCTTTGAAACCACCTTTCTTTAGTAATCTGTCTCCTTCAAATCCCCAGGTCACATACACAGATTTATAAGAGCTGCTTAATGCCAAAAAAAAAAAAAAAGATTTATGCAAAGCATGTAGACGCATCTTACCCCTTGTGTTTATGATTATAAAAAGGTGAAGAGGAGGGTCCAGGGGGGAAATCAATGAAATAAGGTGTTGATTCACAGGTATAATGCTTAAATATGTGCTCAAAAATGGGATTAGTAACTAAAGAACTGAAAAGAGGTAGAAAACCATTCTATAAATTAATGCTTTTTAAAATAAAGACTTTTCTATAAATACATTTGTAAGAAGTATAATAATTTGTTTTCAAATCTTATTACTGCACGCTTTTCTTACATTTGTATAGTTCATCAACTTAACACTTTTTCAGTCTGAGAAAATAAGTGATTAATTTTAATGCATGAAGAAATCTTAGTTTATTGCTCTTATTTTGATACTGCAGCTAATTACTTGCATATGCTTCTGTTTGCTTTTATTGTTCTATAGGGTTGCCATCTGCAAGTCTGGCTGCACCCAATCTCACTGTGGAAGAAGGAAAGTCTATCACCTTGTCTTGTAGTGTGGCAGGTGACCCACTTCCTAATATGTACTGGGATGTCGGGAATCTGGTTTCCAAGCACATGGTAAGACTTGGATTGACTTCTGACTTAATAGAGAGACAATGACTATTTCAGTATGTGAGACTGTATTAAATCCAGTAATGACCAGCTCATACTTTATAGGCTCAATTATAGAAACTTATAAAATATTTGATGCACACTTTCCATTTATTCTTAATTAGGAAATGCATGTTTGCATTTTAGTTACGTTTGCCCAATAGATGAAGAGTCTGTAACCCTAGCGAGTGCTTTGTGTCATCAGGAACAAGGAAATTGACTTATCTTCTTGGTCATTTCCCCTCAGGAAGGTAGATAGGGACTCATAGATTGAGTCCATTTCACAAATTTAGGAATCAAAACACTGAGAAATACAATAACTTCCATCAGCCTGAGTCCAATTCAGATAGAATTTCTAACGTCATCTTACAGACACACACACACACACACACACACACACACACACACACACACACACACACTTTTTTTTGGTAACTAGGGGAAGACACTCCAAATCTTGTCATTTTGAGATCAATCCTACTTAGCCTACTTAGGGTTATTTTTGTTTGTTAATTCAATTGTAGAATGAAACAAGCCAGACTCAGGGATCCTTGAGGATAACTAACATTTCGGCCGATGACAGTGGAAAGCAAATCTCTTGTGTGGCAGAAAACCTTGTGGGAGAAGATCAGGATTCTGTCAACCTCACTGTGCACTGTACGTACTCAGACTAGCATGTGTTTTAGTAGCAGATGATCAGGGACATGGCCCCATTTGTCTGGGGCGCTCCAGATGCTGCTGGAGTGTGTTGAAAGAGCACATTGCGGTGTTTGGTGCTGCTGAAGTAAAATGCTGTCCGCCTCTGTCACTGGTTCTATTTCTGCTTTATATTTCTTACTCTCACGTTCTCTTTTGAGCTTCTTTTCTGATCTTGAGCTTATTGCTTTGTGTCCTCCCTTGTCTTTTCCTAACAGAACGTAATGTGAGCTGATTGTTCTCTTGTTAATTTTGATTTTAAATTCTGATCAAGCAGTTTCTAAAACTGACAAACCAGTTTCTTCTTCCTCTATAAAAGCAATGTGAAGCTTTAAAGTAGTGATGGGAAGCCTAAAGCATCTGCTGGCTTTTTGTGAACACTTAATTGTATCATTGATACACCGCAGCTTTATTAGTTTCAAATAAAGTTTCTGTGGGAAGGTAAGAGGCATCCTAGTTAAACCACTAAAAGTTAAAATCTGCAGAACATTTTATTATTCTTGCTTTAAATTTATGGGTGCCTGGCAGCTAAGATATAAGATGTGTGTGTATGTGTGTGTGTGTGTGTGTGTGTGTGTGTGTGTGTGTGTGTGTATATATATATATATATATATATATATATATATATATACATATACTTCTTAGTCAAGCATAAATGTGCATTGTTTTCCATTATTCCAAATATAATAATATATCTTCAAATACTAGATTGCAGCATGAAGTGTGGTCATGTATTAAGTGAAAACCACACAAATGCTCTGCATTATTGCTAAGATTGAAATCACAAACCACAATCCTTGGACATTCTCAGTACCATCACTATGCTTAGAGGGCACTGGACTGACAGTTTCTCATCATTTTGACCTACGCACAAGCTTGAGGTCAATGTTATTACCAAACATGTGTAACGAACTTGCAATTATATGCCCTTAATTCAACAACTCATTCAAAGTTCCTTTAAGGGATAAGTGGGCTCTGGGCACGGGTCACAGGAGGTAAGTATGGACCTTGCTCATTTTGTGGTCCTTGAAGTGGCATGCACCTTATTTTTAAGTAATGGACATGAAGCTCCTATCATTGTGTTTAGATTAAATTTTTATAGAGGGGATCAACCAGATATTAAAAGCTATTTTGCTTTGCAAAGATTTTTTAAAGAAGGCCTTTGAGAAATATTTGGTAAAGCAAGTGATCAAACTTTGCAAATTTAGATTTTATAGTTTTATATTTCCTCAAGAAAGGGAACCTGAAACAATACACATTTGCAGAATTAACTAACTCCACATGCCCAGTGGTGAGGAATTTCACTGGTAACTGAAAAGCTTTCTGTAGATTATGAAAGTCAATTAAGTTCTTTTCCAGATTTGCTTTTTCTTCAGTAGAATTCTGAGAAGATTTATGTGAACACAAAGAGGGCAAGTTCAGATTATTTGCTTTCTCTTAAAGATGCTTGGACTATCTATGTGGTCATTAGGGTTGGAAGAGTTGAGCTGAGCTTGTCTGTCAAAGTTCAGATAAAGAGTGGAAGGAATCAGTGATAAGGAATATTAACAGCTGACATGGCCATCCACCAAAAGGACCTTACTTACAGTGACTGTGTGTTGGCTTCCATGATTTCCATCTGTTGTGTGATATATGTGAGGGCTACTGGGTTAGATGCAGGAGACCTGTGCTCCTGTCCCAAGTTGGCCTCTCTCAATAACCTTTACTGACTTACCCAACCTCACCAGACGTTGGTGGGACAAACAATGGTATTGGGTCTTGTCTTAGTTACTTTCTCTCATTACAGAGACAAATACCCAACACCCAAAGTTATCACAGGAAAGTTATTTGTAGTTTACAGTTCTCTTTTTATGGTACTGGGGATCAAAGTTGGGACCTTGTGCTTGGGAGGCAGGCAGTAGAACCTCTGAGCTAAATCGCTGGCCCTGTAGTTCACAGTTCTTAAAGGTTTAAGTCCATAATTGTTTGACTCCAAGGCAAAGTAGCATGGCAGAGGGGCATTACAGAGGAGAAACAGTTCATGGTAGGCACAGGACAGCAAAGCAGTGAAGAAGCAAGCAGCAAGCAACAACAGCAGCCCTCTTTCTGTCCCTTATATTCTATCCAGGCTACACGCCCTTAGAGCAGGTAGCACTCACACCCAGGGTGGGTCTTCCCCTTACCCACATCCAGAACTATGCCAAATCAATCAGTGGACTAAATTAGTAATCACACAGCCTTAATCCCAGCATCACACACTAAATCCAGCCGGCTCTGAAAAGCCCCACCCATGACAGCATGAAGCTTTGTGGGGACATCTAGATGCAAGCTGTAATGGGTCCCAAAGTGCTTTTCCAGTTCTTTATAATTATCAAAGGACCACATTAAGATGAACAATGAGTGATGTTAAAATACCTTCAGTCAGGATAACTATTCTGTGAAAAGATACCACTTGATAGTGTTTGTCTTTTTTTTAAAGCATAACACTATATGCTTACAGTTGGATGAATCTCTAGTCTGTTTTTTTTCAGGATTAAATCGGGCCTTAGACATTCAAAAATCAAAGAATTGACATCTAGAATCTAGCAAAAGTGGGCCGTACTGTTATTCAGTGCTTTAAAAAAAACCACTGTTGACAAGCAGTGAAAAAAATATCAAAGTTTCATACTTTATAATAATCACATCAACATTCATTGCTTAATCACTTTGATCTGTTTTAGAAAAATTATATGAGATGAGTAAAATTTCAGTCATTTTGTTGTTATTTGACTCACTTAGGGGAGAAGACTTTAGGGATTTTTGGTGCTTTATGTTTGGTGAGGAACTTGTATAGTATAAAGGACTGTATATTAGAAATCAGAGCGGATGCCATATGAGTCTTTCCACTCTCAGAAATCTCTTAGATCTGTTTGGAGCTGGTTCTCATGTGCACGGAAAAGCTTTGAAAATTGAGTGTGATGTATAGTCTTAAACTGAGCAGAGAAAGGTGTCTCTCTGAAGCTCTCCGGGGAGTTAATTCTACCTCCATGGTGATACAGTACAAAATAATAATGGATCCCTAAGTTATTGGTTGAGTGTTTTCTCAAATCAAATAAAACCAACATTCAAAGTGGTTGAATGAAGTCCTCTGTTGATGACACAGAAATCTGGAGACTGGGGGAATTCTGAGCTTTCTGATGCTATTAACTCTCTCTTTTTCAATTTAGTTGCACCAACTATCACATTTCTCGAATCTCCAACCTCAGACCACCACTGGTGCATCCCATTCACTGTGAAAGGCAACCCCAAACCAGCGCTTCAGTGGTTCTATAATGGGGCGATACTGAACGAGTCCAAATACATCTGTACTAAAATTCATGTAACCAATCACACGGAGTACCATGGCTGCCTCCAGCTGGATAATCCAACCCACATGAACAATGGGGACTACACGCTGATCGCCCAGAACGAGTATGGCAAGGACGAGAGACAAGTCTCTGCTCACTTCATGGGATGGCCTGGGGACATCGACGGTGAGTATCTGCAGTTTGTGCCCTTGAGAGGGCAGGGTCTTTCACTCAGCTCTTGACAGAATTGTATACGATAGAACTGTCCCTGGGCCCAAAGCACCAGGATTTAGTCTAGATCATGGATCTGCAAGTCAGCTGGATTGGTTTTATCCTGTATGTCCTCTAGCGCTCAGGGTAAAGAAATGGCAGCTACCCAAGAGCCCTGTTTCTCAAGGCAAGCACAGAGTGTAAGAGGACAACTGAGAAAGTGCAAGGTTTGGGAAGGTCTGAGTTTCAGCAGGAATCCTGCTCTTCATCCTGTAGGCCATTGGTCAAAGCAAATCGCAGGGCCAAAGTCACATCGAGGGGCAGGGATTTGTACTGCTCCAAGCAAGAATTTTGAATAGGCACCTAATATACACAAGGTTACTGATTAGTGGATCTGAGAGTACTGAGAAAAGGGTTATCATTATCTCAAGTCTTTGATGAGATTTTTACACTCACAATGGTTAAACCTATGTAAAGCCACAAGCAGATGAAATGTGTTTTGTTGGCTCATGAAATATTTACGATAGTTTTTCTTATACTTTACACTTGTAGTGAAGAGCCCTGCATTCTTAGGCACGGGTCAGAAACCAGTACCGTGGACTATTTTCCTGACTTGGACTACCGGAGCCGAGCCACTGTTCCTTCAGCTCGCGCCTTACGTTTCTAGGATTGGTATCTGACCAGTGGTTTGGATTGGGGGAATGGTGCTTAGCATCTGGGCTCCTCTTTGTGGCCAGCAGGGGAGTTTCATTGTGAGCTTCACTGACCGTAGGACAGTTGCCCTGCCTGTGCATGACTCCTCACTTCAGTGGAGTATTTTTACCTGCTCAGTCTTAATCCCCAAAGTGCTCGCTCCTACTGGGGGTTGGAGCCTGACTGTTGTGCAGCTCCTCACTACAAAATCTGTGACTTAAGAGTCACAGAGAGGGGCCAGGGATTTAGCTCAGTGGTGCTGCTGGCTGCTTTGCAAGTGCAAGGTCCTGAGTTCGATCCACGGTACAAAAAAAAAAAAAAGTCACGGAGATGACCTGTCAGAAGGAAGGGAAATAGATATCTAGAGGTCTGAATCGAGGGGCCACTGGGCAGCACGTATCTGTTGGCTTACAGGGCAGTGCCCCTGATGGAGAAGCTCCCTGCAGAGCCACCTTTGCCAAATGGTAAACAAAATAAAATCATCCTCATTACCCTGTAGTTGATAAACATCTTTTTAAATGCACAGGCTTCCTTAGTGTGTTCAAAATGTGATTTGAATTATGTAAGCTTGATTTACAAGCAGCCCTTCAGGGGCACATAAAACAGTTTGTGTTTGGAGGCAGTGCCTGGACATTGGTGGTTGTTGTAGTCATTCCTGTTAGATCTTCCTTCCCCTAGCTGAGAGTGTAGCTGCTCAGCTGTGTGTGCACTAGTAAATCTCCAGCTGCCTATGTTTCCTCCCACCTGTTGTGGGAATTGCAACTTTAGAATTCATTCTGGAGACTCTGATTAAGAGCAACAGCTTTTTGTTTGTTCTTAAATACAATTTTTATTTTAGATCTGTAGAAAAGTCACAAAGATAATACAGAGAGTCTCTGGAGACTCCGCCCAGTGTTTCCCCTTGCTCATGTCTTACGTTATGATCAAACCTTGGTTCACAAACTTAATTTTGGTAGAAGGAATTCTGCAACCAGATTGTGGAAAAGATTAAATTTGTGAACCGAGGCACTGCTATAGTGTGGTGTGTTTGTCATCACAAGGAAACTGACTTTGGTACATTGCTGTTCACTCAGTGAAAAGCTTTATTTCAATTTTACCATTGTGGCCTTTGCAAACTGTTGGGAGCAAAGGTCTGGAGTCTAAAAGCCATCAGACGCAGGTCTGTGTCCTTTGATATCTGAACTGTGTACAGCCAATAACTTCTATTTTAGATTGGGATTTTCATGTATTTTCTTTGAACATTTCTTTTTTTTTTTTAAGAGTAGGCAAATTTTATTGAGGGAAAGAAAGCTCTGTCTAAGAGAGACAGAAGAGGGACTAAAAAGTGGGTTGCCTGCTCATGCCACTTCTCTATGATGTTTTATACAGCAAAACCATGTGGTGAGGCGGGTACAAAGTGGCACAAAATGGTAGGACCCAACGGAAAATTGCAAGGTAGGGCAAAACCATGGGCAACCAATAAGATTACTAGTGCAGTCACCCAGGTAACATTGATTAAATGGGGGTCAAATAGGGGAGCAAGTCCAGAAGCAAGCATACAAGGATTTTCAGTAAGGGTGGCATCAGGGACATTTTCTGGAAAGGCTGGGCTAAGACCTTGGCCCCCCCATCCAGGTGATTGATACCTATTGGCAATATCAATCACTGCTATTTATCCCCAGGGGAAGCACAGGGGTATGGTAGTTTCTCTCCTTTTACAATTCTGGCCACAGTGAATGTGTCTTGATTGTCCTCCATGTTGACTCCTTGCTGTGTTGGCTCCTTGAAGGAGGACCTATCTAACTGCCTAAAAGATTTCTAATTAACTTACCTACCTGCAGTATTCCCCTCTGTGAAGAAGTACCCCACCTGCTGTTAGTGGGTAGAGGGCAAAGACAGCTCTAGCTACTTCCAGCTGAAGAGGGTCATAGTTGTGATCAGCAGTTAGAGTTACTCTACAGAGGGTCTGTCTAAAGGCCTTTGGTAGGTGCCTGGCATTGTCATCTTGGTAGCTGCATAGCTTTTAAGTCTGGAGGAAACAAAGCCAAAGAAACAGTTAAGAATGCATGAGCCAAATTATAAGGTCAGCAGGATTGCTATGAATATAGCCCACAAAGAGGATAAGGTGAAGGTCCAGGGGACTTCAGAATCCAATGTAGAAGTAATTGTGTACAGTTTAGCAGTTATGAGCTATTTACAAGGTTGATCTGGTGAATTCTGGTAAAAGAAATCTAGCACATTTCTCATTGGTTCCATTTGTATGACTGCTTGGAGTTTGGCAGCCTCTACGTAAGAGTAAACAAAACTTCTAAGAAATTAGAGTATGGATAATCTAAGAATGAGCACACTAGAAGAAAAGGGCAGGTTGGGGAGGAAGTCACACTTAGAAATTGAAATAGTGATTGAACCTGCTGGATTTAGATTCTTTCACTGATAGAGGTTATCTATAAGTCTGTTACTTTGTCATAAGTCTGTCTAGTTTAGCTGTAAAATAAGACAATTTAAAGAACAAAATCACTAAGAAATACAAAACAGTAGCTGAGCTCTTATAGGTTTTACCATAGTTTTTTTCCTAGTGATCCATAACCATGGTGAGCTACTGGTAGAGCTGGAAACTGCCAGACGGTGTCAGTGACTGGAGCCCCTTTTTATACCTAGCTTTATTAATATGGCATTATTTTATACTTCTTTTGGTTATTCTTTTCTGCTGGGTGTTTAAGACCAAGTTAAAGTGATACCTGTATCAATCAACATGAACCTCTTGCTATCTGTCAAGGCCAGTTGAGTCTCTTCAGGCATTATTTTGGAACCGTGCATACGGCTTCTCAGCTCCTCTGTCAGTGTCAGCCGTCAGGATGGGTCATGGCCTTGTTTGACCATATCGCTTTCAGTGAAAGCGTGGGAGACTTTTCCCTCATGGTGACCCTCCTTTGACACACAGTATATTTATCCTCTGGTGTCCAGCAATCTCCCTGTTTAGGAGCTTGAGAGACTTACCAAAGATGTAGGATCCTGTAGGAAAGGTTCCTTTGTGTCCTGGATCTTGTAGACCTTGAGGGACCAGGGCCAAAATATTGGCTGTCCTCATAGCCCAGTTACCTTTCTAGTTTTGGTCTCCAAACTTTAGTTGTTGAACACCCAGAAGAGAAGATCAGTGACATTGGTCGTGTGCCGTAGGAGGAGTGAGTTTAACTACTCTAATTCTGTCTGGACAGTAAGCACTTTGAGATATAAAGCATAGTTAGGGGGCTGTTAGTTCTTATCAACCATGGTTGTACTAGTAGTTGAATCTCTGCAGAATGTTAATAGACAGCAGTCATATATTATAGAGAAACTTAAGACCAAGGGCCACACATAGTATTTTAGCATGGCAGTCATGATGACATTTTCTTTGTAACACTTACAGATTCATCTTAGTATGGAATAGTCTTTCAGTCAAACACTTCTATCTGATCACAAGACATTAAACAACATAAACAAAATTCTTATTTGTTATTTTTTTAGTAGGATGCCATCTAAGGAGAACATGCGTGTTGGCCTATAAATGTACCTTAGGAGTTCATAACGTTTAACCTCTAATTTTAGTGTGTGACATTGTTTCGACCATTTGGAGACTGAGCATCCCTAAGCGTAGTGACACATATAACATACATCACATAAGTTTTTAAGGAAACTATTATTTGACTGGTGATCTCATGCTGGCTTGACATGTATCTCTTATCACAAATAGATGGAGTGCAAGAGAAAGGCACATACCTGAGTCAAAAAGATCATTACCGTAAATACCCTAGAGGACTTGTCCATCCAGAAGGCATGAATACATACACCATGAAATGACAATGAGTATCATTTACATGAGACCCTTTGCCCTTTAATTTTGTTTTGTACCAAGAGCATTTTAAATAAAACCTTATTGTTTTCCTACAGAAAATTTAGCCTTTTGATCATGACCAGTGTATGCATATCACAGTAATGTTTTGCAGTGTATTTTCCACAAGGCTATGAAAATTATTGGAGTCCCCTTTGTGAACAAAGGCTGGAATAAATATCTTCCAGTCAGCCGCTCCTTCATTTAATAAGGGAGTCCTGTCCAGTAGTTTTCCAAAGCCCAAGAGTCTTTTTTACTTTTATAAATTTTTGGATGATCCATGAAAGCCAGACCGTAATAATTAACACATTATTTTTGACCAAAGAAAGATTCCTGAGTTATTATATATAAAGAACAATATGTACTGTATTTGTAACACCAATTGACATTATTTGGAGCATCTGGCAACCTGAGGGAAGCATGTCTTTCTATAAGG